ATTTTCTTTACATGATTTATATTTTTACTTTTTTTGAGATATTTATAGACCACTGGAATTTTCAATTTATCTGAAAATTTTTTTTTGAAKTGTCGATAAAATTTTTTGACCCAATCAAAATACTTGAAAATTTAATACAAAGTTTCTCATAAGTTATTCTTATAGTGATTAAAAAATTATTATTAGCAGTTGAAGTTCAATTATTGACATAATACGTAAAAATTACGGCAATGTTCAAATTATCTTAGATAGAAATTCATAAAAGTTTTTCTTTTTAGATCTAAGATTYGAAAAYTRAATACAAGGCTTCTAAAATATTTTTACAATAGCAGTTGAAAATAAAAGAAATAGATAGTCAAAATTTTTTTTTACTATCGTTCAAATTTGAATTTTGACAACATACCTAAAAAGTCACGAAAATTCGCAAATTGTTTTGTGCTAGAAAATTCATAAAAAATTTTAATTTTGACAACATACGTAAAAATCACGAAAATTCGTAAATTATTTTATCCTAGATATTCATAAAGAATATTCACCTAAAGATGAGTGGGAACAAGGATATTCCTTCAAGAGAAAAAGAAAAGGAAAGTTGTTGACCTMGTTGCACGAAGGCAATTATCTCAAAATAACTGAATACGAAATAAAGCTATACAGCAAGAGAATTTCCAAAATGTAAGGCCCAGGTAGTGTTTAACGTTTGTTCAATGTTTTAATATTTATTTTACCTGCGTGCTTATAACACTTGCCTGTAATGACTTTCGAATCCTATGAGCTAGTGCACTCTCATACACTTCTTTATAGCCATCGATAGTCATCTGGAGTTCATCGCGAATCCGGATCAACATGTAACCTCGTTCTGTACAGTTTAAAGTCACCTGTCTTATGACTTCATCTATAGAAATACACGAGTTGAATGAACACTACGTTATATGCACTATGAAATAGATAAACATAAAAATAATTTTTTATACATAACCAGAAAATAAAAATAAAATAGTTGTGAGGTGCTCGTATTTTATTATTAACTTAACCGTCCTAATCTAACATCTAACATATTATRTCGTCGAAAATGTATTTTTTTTTTCAAAATTCTATTTTAAAATAATATATTTTATAATTATGTGTAAATATCGAGTCTATAAGTAAATAGCATGAAAATTAATATCCTTGTTACAGGTTATCTAATCGTAAAAGCCATACTAATATTAAAAACTATACGGTAATATGAATGTTTGATAAGCATCTTAAATTACACGAATCCGATAAATCTCTTATACCAGCTTCTTAAAAGTCATGGTCATGGTTCGCTTAAGTTGGACGATATAAAATATTTTCACTAGTTGTGAACCCAGTAATCTAAATTTAAATGAAAACAACAATTTTCTATGACAATAGTTGCAAGGACAAATTACTTTGCCCATGAGTACCATGATCCTTAGTCCAGCACAATCGGATGAGAAAAATACTTATAAGAAAACCAGGAGTACAGTATACTCAAATGTACCATAGCCGTTGAGATGTGAGCACCTTCTCGTTATTTACAGAGGTACAACTTGTATATTTTTATAATTTTTGCTTAAAATTTTAATTTAAATAATATATAATTTACTCAGTATTGAAATYTCCTATAACCATTTATTTAAAGACAATCATAATCTGGATTTTGGTCAGTCCGCATACAATAGTCTTTTGAATTAAGTATACATAAATGTAAAGAAAAAGAGATTAGATAGACAGCCGACCATATAATCGACCTATCTATAAGTATAGCATATGATAGCAATGTTCAATATACCTTATAACATCGACTTTAGGTAGGAGTATAAATGTAAGTACATTATATAAATTTATGGACTAAGCTTGATTGAAGTATGCTGCTTATAGAGCACTAAGTCTCACAATAAAAAATATTAAAATGGGGTATTCTTTCCGTGAATTTATGGCAAATGAAATTAATAATTTATTTTTTATTGCATAATTATTTTCATCTTTTCGGGCATACTAATAATATGGTTCACCTAGGCACTTACATTTCTATATGTACAATCATCATTTCCTATGAAAAGGTCCTTTATAGGATCACTAATTAGAGCATGGCATTCAGCACACACTTTTAGGATAACATTACCACAATAAAGTACTATTATAGAGTCCTGAATAGCCCCACACAACAAATAACTTGGGCTATACACAGGGGAGATCATACAGTATCAAATGACACCCTCCTTTTATCTATAGACCCAAAACTACGAGATACAACTTACAAGTCATCMCGTTCCAAATAGAGACACAACAACACGCAGAAGCGACGCGTAGCTAACCAGATGGTAYGCGACACGATTTATATACCGGAAGTTTTCACTCTATCATCACAGTTTCCATCAAACATACACCGTTCAACAACTACAAAGGAACCGAAAACCAGAAGACTTTGCCGATATATCAAGCTACTAACACCTGAGTAACTAAAACCGACGACGAGGTAACATCAGCGGAAAATCGATGATCTTTTCAAATAACCACC